GAACAAGGCATCCTGTGTCACAAGATAACTGTAATTTGATCATCTTGGAGCAAGGCCAACTGGCTACAACCTAATATGATCAACCAAATATCTATGTTTGTGTGGGACTAAGAAGTTTCCTGGGATCTGGAACTTTCAGAACTAAAACTAAGAGAGTCCCAGGCAAACCAGAACGATGGCCATACTGCTTACTCAGCAATAATTAGACAATAAAGAATTTGGATTGTCCTTTATCTCAGTGGGAACAAATTCCTGTAGATATACAACAGAAGGTTCAGATATGAGTCTTTATGCCTCCAAAGAGTGGTCTCCACTTACTGTGTCTTTCTGCTCAGCACATGTCCTCTCTCAAAGTCACTTATTTGGTGTAGCTCCAGAGCCTGGCAGAAGATCTTTAAATAGCATCATTAAAAACAAAACAAAACAAAACAAACAAAAAAACAGCATCTTTACCAGGTGGTGGGTATTAGAGAGGGCACGGATTGCATGGAGCACTGGGTGTGGTGCAAAAACAATGAATACTGTTACACTGAAAAGAAATAAAAAATTAAAAAAAAGAGAGAAATGCAAAATTTGCACTCTAGAAAAAAAAAAACAGCATCTTTGTTGCCTATGTGCATTGTTTTTCTTTTCTCTTAAAGGAATATTTTCAAATAACTTTGAAGACGTGGGGAGCAACAGGGCTCCACCACAAATGTTTCCAACTTCAATAGTACTGTTCACAAGAACCTTTCTTGTAATGCTGAAGGATAAGAACTGATTGGTCTCGGAGTTCTTCACCACTGTCCCTCCAGCCAGACATATCCCTGCAGCTGGGACAGAGTTCTCTCCACACATACAGAGCACACAGAACTAGCTAGACCTGCTTTTCCCTTCCCAGAAACTATCTCAACTTTGTGACAGAACCAGGCTGGCCTGCTGCTGGTAGCTTCTTTAATGTAGTCGTATAGTATTTGCAACCTACCTCTTCTTTCCCACTTAAAACCCAGTGGGGGGGGGGTGCCTGGGTGGCCCAGTGGGTTAAGCCTCTGCCTTTGGCTCAGGTCATGATCTCAGGGTCCTGGGATCGAGCCCTTCAGGGGCTCAGCAGGGAGCCTGCTTCCCCCTCTCTTTCTGCCTGCCTGTTTGTGATCTCTCTCTCTCTCTCTCTCTCTCTCTCTCTCTCTCTCTCTGTGAAATAAATAAATAAAATCTTAAAAATGAAACAAAACCAGTAGGGGAGTCTGAATCATCCAGAATCCTTCTTTATTCAGGAGTGTCTTTTATGCATAGAAAGCAGATGAGCACATTCTCCCAGCCAGGGCACAGGCCCTGCTAATATTGGAACATGTGTTTAATGGCTTTCCTCTCCTCTCTAAGCAAATACCACATTTTGAATGGCAAGTGTCCCATTGCACAACTAAAATGCCACATTTGTTCTGACAAGAGCTCTTTGGGGAACCGCCATGAGCAATGGCATTGTTAGCATTGTTCTTAATCTTGAGGCAGCATTCAAGGTTATTGCTCACCCTTTCCCTTACATCAGGCCACATGGTCCTGACTCTTCTCTCTCTGGTCTCTCCTTCTCTGGCTTTACTTCTCCCTACTGTCATAGTGGTCATACTCAGCTATGTACTTCATGGCTCAGATGCCTATCCCATGTTCTTCTTTCCCCAGTTATGGCTTCCTCTCTCACTTTTAAGTGACTAATTCTCAAATCTGCATCTTTCCATTCTACCCTCCTCTTCGCATCCCCATGATCTGTCATCACCTTAAGCAAACTTGTATTAAACTTATGGGGCTCATCTCCCCCCTAAAAAAACAATTCCTTCTTCAGACTTCTATTTTTCTCAGAACTAAATGATTCAAAATCTTGGCATCAAATCTGACTCCTCTTTTTTTGCCATCTCCAGCTGCAAACAAAAATGCTGTGATTCCCTTGGGTTGCCTGCCCTCGGCCTCATTTTGTATAGCTCCACTACCATCAGTCCAACACCCGCAGCTTCATTGCACTCTCCACGAAGCAGTTTCTTGCTCTGTCCTTCCATGGCATCAATCCACAGTGTTAAATGGTCCCTTATTGAGCACCAAATAATTCCAGATGTGTTAGCCTCATATTTACAAATTTTCACAGCAAGTCCTCAGTGGACTTTTCCCCCCAGGTGTGATCAATCTGGGATATAGCAGGAGCCTAACTGAATGTTCAGTTTTATGTTAGAAGGTCCAGGAGCTAGACTCTTGCGTCCAAAAGATGTCATCTTTCCCTATCTTATTCTGCTCCTTCTCAGTCCTGCCCTCACAGCCCTCCCCTCTGCTCAATTCCCTCTCTGGCTTTAACACCTTCATTTATCTTTTCCTGGGGCCCTGAATCTGCTTGTTGTTCTCACTTGCAACGTCTCACCTGCCTCCTGATTCAAGCTCTTAGGGGTATAGAACTATCTGCCACAATCCCTCTTTCACACTCAGTAGTTCCAGTGCGTAAGAATTAGACGGGTAATGTGTTAAGGACGTGAATTCCAGATACATCCCTCACTTAACCCAGAGATGCAGTCAGCATAGCAGTGCTCTCAGATAGAACTTTCTATGCAGATGGAAATGCTCTATGCCGTGTTGTCCAATAGAGTAGCTACTAACCATATGTGACACCTGAAACTTGAAAGGTAGCTAGTATGACCAGGAAACTGAATTATTAATTTTATTCCATTTTTATTAAATTTAAATAGCCATAGTGGCTGCCATTTTTATAGTGCAGATTTATAGATTTAACACACATCACAGCTGAGTCTACTGAGCACAGGTGTTTAAGAACTACTTAAACAAGCAGTTCAGGTGATGCTTATTCTCCCTTACTAGCACACTGCAGATAGTCAGCAAATGTTTGTTGAAGGAATGGATGAACAAATGAATACAGGAACAAATCAGAATATAATTTCCTTAAGACATAAGGCTGTCTCTTCTAGAAAAAAAAAGTTGAGGGGACTTTTCCAAATTGAAAGAGTTTAAGAAGACTTACCAACCAAATGTAATAAATTGACATTAAATGTATTCTGGCTCAAAAGTTAAAATTTTGGGGGGATGCCTGGGTGGCTCAGTTGGTTAAGCCGCTGCCTTTGGCTCAGGTCATGATCCCAGGGTCCTGGGATCGAGTCCCGCATCGGGCTTCTTGCTCGGCAGGGAGCCTGCTTCTCTCGCTGCCTCTGCCTGCATCTCTGCCTGTGTGTCCTCTCTCTCTCTCTTTCTCTCTCTGGCAAATAAATAAAATCCTTTTAAAAAAAGTTAAAATTTTTTAAAAATATAAAAGACTTTTTTGGCATTTTGGGGACAATTGGATAAATTTGAACACAGGTAGCATATTACACAATATTAGGAAATATCTTTTAGTGTTCTTAGGTGAGGTAATGTTATTGAAGTTACAAAGGAAAATGTCTTTAATCTTAGGAAATACATGCTGAAGTACTTAGGGATGAGGTGTCATAACAGCAACTTATTTTTAAGTGGTTTGACAAAAACTGTGTGCATGCACGTGTGTGTGTGTGTGTGTGTGTGTGTGTGTGTGTGTGTGTGTGTTGTGTGTAGAGAGAGAGAGGGAAAGATTGAAAGCAAAAGTGGCAAAATGTTAACTTTTGGATCTAGGTAGAATACGTGGGTATTCATTGTATACATTCTTTCACCTTTCTTATGTATTCAAAATTCTTTAGAAAGTTGAAGGAAAATTCATCCACAATGAACTGACAAATTCTAAAGTAAAATAAAATAAAATTTCAAAATACTGCATTTTTTGACTTTTGGGTGCTAACACCAGCTCACCCAGCCACCCCACCCCTCTCCATCCCAGACTGACACAAGGCTGACATTATGCTACAAATTCCCTAGACCAGGTGATACATGCTGGCAAGCTACAGATCCTATGTAACTTGCATACATGTTTTTCGTTGGCCCAAATAGGGGGTTTTCTTTAGAAAAATTAAGTTAGTTGCCAACTTGAAAATTCTAAGGATTTCTATGTTGATACATTATATAACAAAAATTTTGCAATATAATTAAATATAAAATACTTATTTCATAATAGCAAACATGCATAGGTCATGTCTATGAGACAAGTACCATTCTAAGAGTTTCAGGTATATAAATCATTTACTCCCCATAACAGCACTATGAGATAGGTATTATTATTGTAATCTGTTTACAGATGAGGAAAATGATGAACAAGGACATTAAGGAACTTTTTCAGTTTTACAACTACTGACTCCTAGTGCTGGGTTAAATCTTGTATAATCTGCCTCCTAACCACTATACTATATTACCACTCACAAAACTCTGCATCTCCAGTTTCTCTGGAAAAATCAGATGATCTGGTAACATATTCCCACATGGGACCAATTGACCAGAGCCAAGGAGCTAGATTCTCCTGAAGGCAGGGCATCTTTTCTTCTGCTTGGTAGAATCCCCACCTGGCCTGCTTCTGGGTCCTTGAGGTCTGACCCCTGCTCTAGCCATGGCACACCTGAATTTACCATGTTGAAGGACAGATGGTAGATATATCACAGATACTTGTACACTGCCCCAGACCAACCTGGATATCAGGTTGTAGGCATGAAGCTCTAGTGGGAGAGAAAGCTAGAAGGTTAACCTGGGCCAGAAGAGCATGTGGCAGTGATAGAATGTATGGATGGGTGGAATGTCAGGATAAGTGTTGGTAAGCAATGGAGAAAATTACAAGAAACAGAAGGTACATATCCCATGGCTGTTAAGATGCCCATCAGAAGGCAGTGTGGATCAGTGAGAAGAGTGTGGGCTAGCACGGCCCAGGATTCCATCGCTTAGCAGCTCTATCACCTTGGACAAGTTACTTATCTTCTCCAGCTTCCATTTCCTGGACTATAAAGTGGGGCAATGACATTTTATCTCCAGGTGGTGAAAGGATTTAAATAAGAGTATGCAAAGTCTCTATGACTCCTGTTCATATATATAACAAAAATACTTTTCTTACTAATCATTAATATTTTCATGTTTTTCCCTAGATTTACAAAGCAAGAAGAAACTAGGAAGCTATGGTAAGTACCAGGTGATTATTGGATCTTCATCTTTCAAGCGTCCAGATCTGGCTGGCTTCATCTGACCTGTAGCCCAAACAGCTGGCAGATTTGCCCTTATGGTTGATGATATTTATTGACTTTGGGCCAAACCAGAGATGATAGAGCAGAGTCTAGAAGAAATTGACATGGAGTAGGGGAAAACCAGGGAGCTGAGAAAGATTTGTGAGCAAAGATTTTTAGTAAAACTTTAAAAATGAAAAACCCAAATATCCAGCAATACACTAAGTGGCTGACAATTTCTTCCTTCAGCAAACTGAGTACCTATGATGGTCCAGGTGCTGGGGATGCAGATGTGAACAAAACTAGACATGGCCCATGTCTTCCCAGCACTGGATAGATAGCTGGTTAAATGAATGACATCACACTCACTCTGGAATGTTACACTATCATTAAGAAGACAGTTTGCAAAGAATCAATAAAACAGTGTGATCTCATGTTATAATAGAGAGTTACAAAGCAGGGTGCAGAACTGTATTTATAGTATTAACTGGGTCATATAAATCACCCATAATCTATAACTCAAAACAATTACCAACAGTGTAGTCCATTATATTCAGGTTTTTCTTTTTCTATTCTAAACACATCTACTATATTCATAGAATAAACTATTAGAAAATGAAGAAGAGTGTTGGTAGTTGTTATTCTTGGGTTGTGGGATTATGAGTGCTTTTTGCTTTCTTCTCTATGATTTTCTAGATTGTCCAAGGTTCCTATAATAAGGATGTATAAACAGGAAATCAGTCAATTAAAACACAGTCACAGTCATGCATAGGACTTCTCTTCCCCATTTATTTTCTCTTTCTCCTTGCTGTTGGTTTCTCTAGGGCAGAGCACGCAGGCCTCTACCTGGGCAGCACAGGCATTGTGAGAAATGCTTCAACCGTCACTGCCACATTCCTGTGGAGCCTGATGTCTCCTGTCTGGTGATAAACTGTCACCTGTCCTGTGGTGCCACCTTCCACATGTGCAAAGAGGCAGAGCATGAGCTCCTCTGCCCTCTGGAGGAGGTTCCATGCCTCAACTCTGAATATGGCTGTCCCCTTTCCATGTCCCGCCATAAGCTGGCCAAGCACTTACAAGTGTGCCCCGCCAGTGTGGTCTGCTGCTCCATGGAGTGGAATCGCTGGCCAAATGTGGACTCTGAAACAACCCTTCATGAGAACATCATGAAAGAGACCCCCAGTGAGGAGTGTTTGGACACAGCTCTTGCCCTCCAGGACCAGAAGGTCCTTTTTAGATCTTTGAAAATGGTAGAACTTTTCCCAGAAACTAGAGAGCCCACTGAAGAGGAACCTACTATGAATGGTGAAGCCAGCTGGGAGGAAATGGGAGGAGCAGTGGGTGGAGCAGAAGCCAGTTTGGTACCACATGGAGCCTTATCAGCAACTAATGGAGAGATGGTAGAACTGAGTCAAGAAGAACGAGAGGTGTTAGCCAAAACCAAAGAAGGGATGGACCTGGCCAAGTTTGACAAGTGGGAAAATATATTCAGCAAAGAGCATGCAGCCTCTGCTTTAACAACCTCATCAGTAGGTTGTGAGAGTAAGAGTGGGTACAACCCAGGGAAAGAACAGTTTTCTAGCGACAATAACATGGTAGGAGAGGAGACTCTCAAAGAGAAAGAACCACAGGAAAAACAGAAGCAGCAGGACTTTCATGCAGCCCTGGAAACAACAGGGCTCGCGCCTTGGCAGGATGGTGTTCTGGAAAGACTGAAAACAGCTGTGGATGCAAAGGACTATAATATGTACCTGGTGCACAATGGGAGGATGCTTATTCACTTTGGTCAGATGCCTGCTTGCACACCTAAGGAGAGAGACTTTGTTTATGGCAACCTTGAGGCTCAGGATGTGAAGACTGTTTACACCTTCAAAGTTCCTGTGAGCTACTGTGGGAAGCGGGCTCGTGTTGGAGATGCCATGTCGAGTAGTAAGCCAAGTGAACACAAGGCAGTAGACACTTCAGATTTAGGGATCACGGTGGAGGACCTACCCAAATCAGATCTCATTAAGACCACCCTCTTGTGTGCTTTAGAAAGAGAACTTAAAGGTCATGTCATCTCTGAATCCAGGAGCATTGATGGGCTGTTCATGGATTTTGCTACACAGACATACAATTTTAAGCCAGAACAATTTTCCTCTGGGACAGTGCTGGCTGACCTCCTAACCAATGCCAACCCAGGAGGGCTCCATGTGGAACTCCACAGTGAGTGTGTGACCAGGAGACACAACAAGAGCAGCTCTGCCTTCACTTTCACTTGCAACAAATTCTTCAGGAGGGATGAATTCCCCCTACATTTCAAGAATGTCCACACAGACATTCAATCATGTCTCAATGGCTGGTTCCAGCATCGATGCCCTCTCGCCTACTTGGGATGTACTTTTATTCAAAACCATTTCCGTCCCCCAGGGCAAAAGGCAAAAGTGATCTATAGTCAGGAGCTTAAGACCTTTGCCATCAAGCCAGAGGTTGCCTCAGAGCTGAGTGAGAGAAAGAAGAACAACCATCTCTCAGGCCATGGAGGAAAAAGCCAGAATTGTCTAACCAGCCTGCCCCTGGAGGTTTTGCAGTACATTGCTGGGTTCTTGGACAGCATCAGCCTGTCCCAGCTTTCCCAGGTGTCTGTGCTGATGAGAAATATCTGTGCTACTTTGTTACAAGAGAGAGGGATGGTCCTCCTGCAGTGGAAGAAGAAGAGGTATTCTCAGGGAGGCACCTCCTGGAGAGTCCACAGAGAGGCAAGTAAACCCTCATTCATTCATTCATTCATTCATTCATTAAACAACTATTTAGTAAGAGGAAAATAAGTTTGTCTCAAATGATATTTGAGTCAAATATCATTTCTATGTGGCAAGCACTGTACTAGGCACTGGCATTACACTAGGTTCCTGGGAAGAAGACATAATCCTTGAACTCAAGAAGGTCATTCTGATGTAGAAGTCAGACCTATAGACATATAAAAGGCAATACAGATAGTCGTACCTGTTTATCTCTGTGTATATGTCCTGGGTATCTTCTGTTTGCTCACGTGATTCATTCTCCAACCCTGTCCACTATGATGTCCCCCAGGAGTGATTTCTACAGACTGCCTCAATCAACAACCTTGCCGTCCAGCTTCCAGCTGGGCGAATCTAATGCGAGTGTGTCAGCGGAAATGGAGGGAGAAGAGTGAGTTGACAAATCTATTCTCCCTGCATGCATTCTCCCCTCCTCCCCTCCATGACACTAGCACTGGCCATGTCCCTCTACTGAAGATGACTATATCAAGTGACTCTCTCCACACAATTACTCATTCTTGGTTCCAATGACCTCCTTTCTTCTTCCCTTTCAGGCCCAGGGTGTTACACTCTAGATTGTTACTAGCCTGGGTACTACATTATATCTTGTGGCTTACCTACACCCTGCCCAGACATTTGCATATCATTATTTTTTTAAATTTTCTTCAATTTACCCAATTTAAGTGTGCCATCTGTTTCCTGCCTTGGAGTCTGATACAGTATGCCAACAAATTCTCCTCGGTCCCATATCAACTAATTTAAAAAACAACAAAACTGTTTTTGCCTTTGTTAAAGACATTTTGAAATTCTAAAATAATCTGGTCCACCAATCTCTCCTGGTTCAAATATCTATTTACTTTCTCAAAAAACTCTGCTATATAAATCAAAGAGTCTTTCTCTTTGGAAAAATCTTATTCCTTTTTCCTAATCTTACTGAACTGCATCATAACTTCTATCAGCTTATATCATACAAAAGTGAAACTCCTAATTCATTACTTATGAGATGCCCTTGGCATCCTTTCCCATGGTAAATATGTGGTAATATGAACTACAAATTGATGATACCCATTTAGATCAATAATTCTATAATCACACTATAGAATTTCTTCCCAAAATGTGGGTGTGTGCAAAATGGCACTGGAGTTAGAGTTGTTTACACCTATTTTCACTGATTATGTCTAAAATATCTTATATGTTTTCCATTAATTATTCCCTGAGCAATCTTCTCCAAAAAATAATTGTCAGACTCTCCTTCATGTAGCCAGGCCTGCATCCATGTGTTAAACACTGACTGCCACCCATCCACATGTTAGGGATAAACATGAATAAGACTGAGATCCTACCCTCAGGAACTGTATGGTCTAGAACTATCTAATATCTTCCTCTATAAAATCAGATGCAAATAATTTACATATTAGAAATTTCATTATTTTTTGGCTCATGTTTGTTCCCTATTCAGTAATTGCTGACCACTCCTGAATATCATTTGAGACAAACTAATTTTCCTTTAGAAAGGAAAAAAGAGAATTTTAGTTGGAGCTCAAGAATGCTTATATTAAAATACCTTTTTTTTTTAAAGATTTTATTTATTTATTTGATAGAGAGAGATCACAAGTAGGCAGAGGCAGGCAGAGAGAGAGGGGGAAGCAGGCTCCTTGCTGAGCAGAGAGCCCTATGTGGGGCTCGATCCCAGGACCCTGGGATCATGACCTGAGCCAAAAGCAGAGGCTTTAACCCACTGAGCCACCCAGGCACCCCTAAAATACCTTTTTTTAAAGTGAAAACAGCAATAGTTCTAAGATCCCTGGAAACACTTTTCTTATATTGGAACAATGATAATAAACTGAGGGTAAAGTGTCAAGTTGAAAGGGTATCAAGTTATGTCTACCCTGATAGCCAGATTTTAAGACTAGTGACTTTGCCACCACATCCTAGGTGGAAAGGCAAAAAGGGGTTTTTGTACCAGACACTTGGATTTCTCCTGAGGTTTCTGTTCTAGTGTGACTCTTCTTAGTTAGGATACTTTTAGTTTTAAGCAACAGAAAACCAACTTAAAACAGCATCAATAATAAAGAGAACTGTCGTCCAAAGGCAATGGCTCAGGTAAAGTTTGATCTGGCAGCTCAAAAATGCCCCCAAATGACCTTTTACTTTCTATTTCTTACCTCTACTTCCTCTCTTATGGCTCTATTCTAAAACACAGCTCTCCCTTGGTGGTCCCTGGGGGCTGCCAGCAGCTCCTAAGACTGAAGTTCCCCAGCTGAAGTAGAGAGGGGAAAAAGAGAACCTGCTTCTTGATATCTCTAGCAAAAGTCCTAGGGTAGGGCGCCTGGGTGGCTCAGTTGGTTAAGCGACTGCCTTTGACTCAAGTCATGATCCTGGGATCGAGTCCCGCATCAGGCTGCCTGCTTGGCCAGGGAGTCTGCTTCTTCCTCCACCCCTTCCCCTTCTCGTGCTCTCTCTCTCTCAAATAAATAAATAAATAAAATCTTTAAAAAAAATAAAAGTCCTAGGGTAGAGTCCAATTGATGCAAATTGTCTTGATTTGAACCATGTGTCTTTATAGCGCAGATCGCTGTCGCTGTTGGGAGAGGGTGGGTGTGTGTCTACAGCAGAGTGCTGTAGGCATTCCCACACAATTATATGGCTAGCTGGGAAGATAATCAATTGGAAGGGTGATCTAGGAATTGGATATTGACGAAAGAGTTAGGAAATGTCTGCAGCGGCTAAACACTCTCTGGAAGCTAAGAACGTGAAGAACAGAAAGGTATTACACTCTTTAAATAAAGCCAGCCTAAGGGTATTGCCCCAGTGTTCACTTTTGAACTTCCATGTTTCCTAACAGATCTGGCAATTCAGCAGCCTCTTCTCCAAAATCAAGAGCTGGGAGTTTAATGAAGTTGCCTCTATGGCTGAACACCTGAAGGACTGTCCTTTCAACATTGTAGAGCATAAGACGGACCCAATTCTTTTGACCAGCATGTGTCAGCTCCAGGAGCAGGCCCGAGAGAGCTTAGTTACCACCTTTAGAGCCAGACCACGAGGTAGACACACCTGCTAAAGATTCAGAAGCCACCATCCTTGGATTCATTGAAAGTAGGACAGAATGATTTTGAGGACTTCCTTCTATAAACTGCATATGTGCTTACCTAGGTGTGTTAAAGCATGCACTGCCCTAAACCTGAGCAAGTGCACAAGGTCTGAGAATTTCCAAAGCCACGGCTTGTACACTTGCTATAAGGGCCATACTGATAACTTATTTCCTCCCCCCACCCCTTTCTCTCCCCTAAAACAAATCAGTCTGAGGAGAAAATAGGTAACTTGAGGCCATTTGAAAGATGAGCCCAAGTCGTAGGAAATGAGAGAGCAGTGAAATTCCAGAACCAGCACAGGCCTGTGCTTTTGTGGAGAACATTTTAGTTGATGAGCACTTTCAAATTTAGAGGGTAGGCTATGCAGGGGTGGGAGCTGAGTTGCATCCCAGGGCACCCAGGGTGAAAGGCACACGGTTTGACGGTTCTGGAGCTGGGGTTATCTTGAGAGTTAAGTCCAGGTCTTCTTTTTGTCACTCCACCGCCTGTAAGCCCAGGAAGTCCAAGCACAGTACAGCCCAATAAAATGGAGACCTTGGCTGAGCACAGCAGCATCAAGGGCACCGCAAGCCAAAGAATGAGAGGCAGAAATGAGGTCACAGAGTTCACTGTGGAGAATCTTGGCAGTATATAGGAGAGCCTTGCAAAATGAGGAAGAGTTCAAAGAAGACATTGTATTAATGGAGAAAATTAGCACTAAAAGCCACAAGCCTACTTTTAAACATGTCAAAAATGAACTAAGAGTCAGGGTTATTTTCTTCTTAAGATTATATTCTAGGTTTGGATTTGGGATAGCATAGGCACCAGCCTGAGCTAGCTGAGATGACTGCAAGACACTAATACCAACTCCAGTGTCAGGCAAGAGTGCATGCCCAGAGAGACCTCTCCTTCGGCAAAGTCCAGACAAGGCGCAGTTCCTGTGGCACCAGACACCCGGTCCCAGACACCACTCAAGTACCTGGTCAGGGGCCATGGGAAGGAACACACCTGAACATAGTAGATCCCTGTAATTGCTCCTACCTATTGTTGTTCATGACTCTAGTCTGTCAGAAATGGGTGATAACATTGGTCTTGGGTAACAGTGAATACTCATGAAAACAAGAGTAAAATACATAATAGAATCTGCCTTCCCCTAAAGCAGGGTTTCTCAGAACTACTGACACTTTGAACTGAATGGTTCTTTGTTGTAAGGGACTGTCCTATGTGTTGTAGGATATTTAGCAGCATCTTTGGCCTCTATCCAATAGATACTTGTAGCACATGCACTGCTGTAAAAACCAAAAGTGCTTCCAGACATTGCCAAACATCCTCTGGGAGTGAAACCACTCTGGGTTGAGAATCACCCTAAACAATGTCATACCAGTGCCAATAACTTAGGGTAAGATTTTTGGTACAGTAAAACCTTACATAATGATCTACAGTGGTTGTGATTTTATGTAGCTCTTCTTTATTTACTAGATAAGTTTTAGACAGATGTGACTTTAAGTTGGGAACTAGATGGAGCTGATTGATTGGTGTGCCTTTATGTCCTTAAGTCATGTGCAAAAACATATCCTTTCAGCTCTCTCCAGATGTAGCAGAAACAGGGCATATTGAGCTATTTATCTTGGGTTTCTTTCCCTCTCACCTGAATCAGTGCCATTTTCCCAGCAGTCCTGAAGCAAGTGAGAAAGAGGAGAAAAGGAGGACAGATATTATGGGCAAGCAGAGAACAAAGAATTTAGATAACAAAAAGAAAGAGTCTAGTCAATCTGGATGCTTATTATTGACTGGGTCTCTCTCTCTCTGAACATGGTACAGAGCTAGTATAGATGAAGTAGAGGACACTTGTGAGAAGAGTCACAAGCAAGTCTGAGCAAGCCTCAGAGTAGAAACCTGCTCGTCTTTTCATTATCATGCACCACAACTTACTTGGTAATGTAACTCTATGTTTCTTAATCCATTTTGCTTGGTTTATATTTCATATTTGTATATAAGGCACCATTTTCTAAAAATACAACTATAGTGTGAGTTATGATTTTTATTCAGTGAAGATGAGTAACTGGAAACAACTGAACACTGAAGTGGAAAAAAGGAAAAGTTCTTCAGGTATCAGTTCCATGTGTTTTGAATCTAGCTCCTTCCTATCTGGAGAAAGAAAGCTCCTGTAGTCCACTCTGGGTTTCTTCTTTTATTAGACAAAGAGAGAAAGGGGAGCTATTGACCAAGGGAGATGAAAATCAGGGGCTTCTCTTGGGCAGATGAGAATTAAAGAGAAAGGAAGAGAGTAGAGTATTTTCCTTTACTACCTGGGCAGGGCAGGTTCCACAGAACAGCCAGGAGACTGCCCGTATGGCTCTGTGGACTGCACACTTGCAGTTCTTTATTTACCTAGTTGTTGCCTTTGGAGCAATATTGATCAGCATCATCAAACACATTTGTTAAGATATTTAATTGAATATGTTGCAGGAAACCAGGATACTACAGGTGTCGACAGGTCTACACAAACAAGCACATTTTATGGTGAGAAGGCAGTGGGAGCAAAAAGGAAGCCTCTTAGAGAGACTGTAGATCAGACAGAAAAATGACTGAATTCATGAGATGAGGCCGTGGTGAGTAGCATGAGCTCCAGAATTACCTGACAGAGGCAAGACAGCTAGACATGGCCTCAGATTAAGAAGAAGCTGAGGGGGAGTGAAAAGGAATAGGGACAGGAGATTGGACAGGGTGGTGTCTATGAACAGACCCTTAATGAGTAGCACCACCAAGAATGTAATCCAGAGTAGAGATCAGTCAGATGTGGAGGGCGAAGTCTGTAGCACTGAAACAGAAAGGAAGTTTCTGTCTAATAATGAAAGGAAAATTGAAAAGCAATGTGGGGCTTGGAGATGTAACCGGAAAACCACTTTGAGAGTCTGGTCTCTGTGTGATATCAAGTCAAACTGAAGTGAAGGATGAGATTGTGTATATCTCTGAAGACTTGCCTCTGGATGCTGGAAATCTCAATGTCTGTAAAAGCAGAAATAAAAGCTGTTTTGCAATCTGGATGGCTACCTGGGTGAGTCTTGTAAGTTAGGTCTAAAGACAGATTTGTGAATCCCTGGCACACGGGTCATTGTGGAAACAAAGGAGTGTATGTCCTAAAGAAAAACCAAGGACCAGCCTGAGGGATGCAGTGCTCTAGTCATGTGAGGAGCTCACTAACTTTACAAAGTCCTAGAGCAATTCTGGATCTCAATCACTAATCCTAGCTCCCCCTTGATCCCACTGTTTTCTTTATCTTTGCTCCAAATCCCTGACTTTTATTCTGATTTTGCCCATGATCTCCTATCAGACCTCGCTGAACCCAGTGGGCTGGGGCTTCTCATTCTTTCTCAACCCTATCATTTGGTGATTTGCTTTTTGTCTACCACTAGCTATCCAAAATGGATTCACCTCTTTTCTTATCAGCCTTGGCCCTGGACCATATAGAATGTTCTTAAGTTTCCTCTGCCTTCTACTTGGTTATCAATTTCAGTCAACTAGCTACAAGGGAGCCTGAACGTTCTCTAGTAGAGGCCACTGTCTCTGACCCTAAATCCTTTTAACACCTTATTGGAGTCTGTGGTCCTTTAGCTTTGGTCTCTTTTTATTGGCCAAATCTCCCTTTTCCTCCTTTCAATCCCACAATTTAGGTTTCTTCTTCAAGAGTCATGTCCTAAAAGAATGTAGTTATTATTCCTAGGAAGAAAGTGGAGAGCCTCTTATAACTGCTAAAGCCAAAAAGTTGAACTGCTTTACTGTGGACTCTTTTTGGCCCCCGTCACCCTATCTTACTGCCATTTTCCAGGTCATTGTGTTTTGGATTGGGTTTAAATACAGTCTAAGGAAAAAGCCCAACCCTTGATATCCAGGGTACAGGGCAGACAAGAGGAAGCCTTATAGATATGCCTGAAAGAGGGAAGAATTGGAGCCGTGAGAGTAGAGGCACTGAGGGCTGCATAAAAAGTACTATTTACCTCATCAAAGAAATGAATCATAGTCCCATTTTATTTCTGATTTAAGACTGAACAGAGAGAAGATTTAAGAAAAAAATCTCTGCAGAAACATAGAGTGGGTTAATAGCACAGCCAGGCAAACCAGGCAATTTAGATGTACCTTCCCATGTAAGCAAACCAGGAGGCTCAGAGCTCACAAACAGAGAAAGGAAGCACTTGGGGTATTGGAGGAAGCATTCATGGGGAAGGAGGAAGGACCACAAGATAAACGTCCATGAGCTCATCTCAGATAGAGAGGACACTGAGTGGAAGGAGACCCCTTCCTCACGCTGTCTCTGCCCCAACCCCTAGTGGAGAGGGAGAGGAAAGTCTGTCTAAAATATCAGGCAACTCATGACTCTTGTAGCAGGAATGGGGCATGAGTGGAGGCAGAACCATTTTGGCCATGGGAAGTCACAGTGCAGAAGACAGGGAGGGCCAGTTACTGAAGGAGCTTGACATAGTTTGCAGGAAAGAGTCCAAAGTGGCCATGGCAACGTCCCCGCCACCAGCCCTCGTCCACCATCTCAATGTCAGTGATGATATCATCAGGATCAAAGGAAATCTCGTCACTTCCCTCTGGGGAGGCAATTGATGGAATATTAGTATGGTCAAACAGTAATCCTTCCATTCCTGTGCCCACTATAAACCTCAGGGAGGGAAAGGGTTATTCTTCTTGATGCCAAGGCTGGTCCTTCACTGACCCCCAGAATCCATCTCCCTCTCTCCTAGTAAGGGCCTCCAGGCATAAGACCCCTGAGTCAACTCCAAACCTACCTCCTTGGTAATCATACAAGGCGATAGCTGAGATCCCTGCTCCAGTCCCAGCTGGGTTGCTAGATGATTCTGCATAATGAGAAATATAAACATGGTCTCACCAACATGGAGAAGGAAAACAGGTCCTTCCAGAGAATGGGGCAATTCTTCCTCTTGCCCTACCCCAGACTAGACCCAATTCAGGAGCTGTTTCTCCCCCACCACTCACCAGCCAGAGTGGAGGGACAAGATGGATTCTCAATTTCAAGCACATCTTCATAGTCCCCATCTGGTTCACCATCCTGCTCCTGTCTATCCATTTCTCCAACATCCTCATAGTCATTCTCAGGCTCAGGCTCAGGCTCTGCTTCATACACTGGCTCCTCTTCCAGCTGCAGGCCTTCCAGAGTCCTGGGAGGCAAAGCTGGGGGCTCTTCTTCCTGAGAAGAGATGGTGTGGATCAAAGCAACTTCCACCCACCAGGAGCTGCCTCTCTAAAACCTCCAATGGAGGACTGCTAACTAAGGCTTCCATGTATCACCATCCTACCACTTCTACCCTCTATCCTTACCTCCATCTAATAACCTCTCCTAGAAAACCCAGTCTTTTATCCATATTCATTCCTTGACCTCCTCCCATACCCACCTACTCAAAACACCTACCAAGAGGTGATAGGAGGGAAATGTAAAGGGAGCGAGGAGAGGGAAATGGAAAACAAGTCTGATTCCTTGAATGATCAGGAAAGAATTGAAGCAAAAATACATTTTTGGGAATACCACAGGCAGGTTGCCCAACTGTCCTGGTCTGGCCAGGAATTCATGACCCGCAGAATGCAAGACTTTCAGTGCTAAGACCGGGATGGTACCAGACAAACCAGGATGGTTGGTCACTTCATATGACCCACCTTCCTAGGACATGAGGAGATGGGAAAGGAGCAGACAATCTTTGGGGGTCCACTTACCTCTGGGGGATTCTGCCTCAAGGGCGGGGCAGGCACTGGGTGTTCCTTACTGGTTCTCACAGGCCCAGGCTCTGATGATGGACAGCTCCCTGCTGGAGGCCAGGCCTGGGGAGAATAAAGCATCTCTCTTTTAAGTATCTAAACCTCCCTCTTTTATCTTATATTGACCAGGAGCACCTCTTCCTGTCTCTGCCAATCCAAATCAACCACCCCCAAGGTGGGCTCCAATCTGAAGTGATAGCTCCTTCTTCTTGTTCCTGCAACAATGACCAGCTGCACAGTCAAATATGCAAATCTTGGTTTATGTAAATCTGGGATTTTCCTCCCTTAACATTTTGGTATATATGAGGCCCAATCACTCCAACTGAAATCTTCCTGAAGACAGAAAGATTTCAGACTGTCTGACACCAGGGAGGCCTGTGCCTTATTTTCCATCAATGATTTGGACTCCTTAGGCTCACATCTGGGCAAGGAATCCTGGATGTGAAGCCCAGAAGGCCAAGCACTCACCTCTGAAGAGATTTTCTTGGGCACCGGGGCTGGCACTTCTGGCTCTCCCACAGTGTCCACTGGCTGCTTAGCCTCATGGCTCATCTTTATCAGGGCCTTTCTCTCCTGTTGCTGCCTGGCTATCTGCTGTGCCTTTTCTTCTTCCTCCCGCTTCCTCTTCTCCTCAGCCATAGACTCAAATTTTGCCTTCAACCCACGGGCACTACTAGAAGCTGCAGACACAGGCAAAAGGAATTAGGATTGTCTTGGGTAACAGGTAGGGGTGGGGGTTGGCCCTCAAAGGAAGAAAGGGAATTGGTTAAATATCCAAGCAGAGAGCAGATGGAGAGGAACTCATGAGAGGAAAGGTAAAGAGGTACTAATGGGGGAACAAGGGGATTACAGAAGGAGAATGGAGCCCTAAAGCCCAAATTTCCATGTAGTCAGGCCATGCAATCTCAGACTATTGTCCTTTCTAAGTTATGAACCTTGCTCCCCTAACTACCATCATTTCCTCTCTACATTCCTTAAATCTGTATGCCCTCTGACAACCACCCACCCTCTCTTCCCACATCCCAAGCTCTTGTCCTTCTGTATTCTTCCCAAATGGCTCCCTATCCCTCCCTCCCTGTGATCTCTGCTTACAGTTCTTTTCCAATGTCACTCGGTCTCTCTATACACTTAACCTGGTTTTTTTTAGTAGTATGAATCTGGAAATATATGGGCAGGGTCAAGTCTATCTCAGCTAGTCTAGGTAGTTAAAGGCATGGGAAGAGGCAGTCTAGGCATAAGAAATAATGAGAAGGGAGAGGTGGTTGAGGAACATAGAGGAAAGGAATTGTTAAGACTCACCAGCTTCAATGGGTGTCGTCTTTTTATAAGCTGTGGTTGGAGCCTCCATTTCATTGAAGCCAACAGCGCTCTGCAGTGAGGAGAAGAGTATACATGGTGTGGGGAGGAGAAGAGTATACATGGTGTGCGGAGGAGAAGAGTATACATGGTGTGGGAAGGAGAAGGGAATGGTAACGACCTAAAGTCAATATTGGGGTTTGGGGCCTCTATAGGACGTATCCCTGACCATTTGATGATCAGTAGTTAAATAGGGTATTCTGATATTGTTATTTTGTGGCAGAGAGCAGGATAAAGAAGTTCTAAACTGGTGGGCTCAGCTCCCCTTTTTGAAAGGTCAGTGTACCTTGTGTCTCACACCTCTAAGTCCAGTTGCCTAGAATGCAGCAAGGCCCCAGCCAATGCATGAAGAAGAACTGATGTGAATGGAGTGAAGAGAGATTACAGATTGAATTAAGCAATGCCTAGCAATGAATGAAATTTCAAACATCACCTTGCCCTGAAGTTTATGTGTTTGTCTCTCTCTGACCCCCTCCATTCTCCTTAGTTAAAGCTCAGGCTGCAGAAGACTTGTCCATTAGATGCTGAAGGCAGTCAGTGGGGAGTATAGGAAGACAGCTCAGGACACTTAGAGTTTAGTGACCTATTCTCAAGACATTGGTGTGCTGGTGCTTTACCTTATCCACTCGGTCCTTCTGGATTCCATACTGACCACCAAAGCCCTTGGCATAATCTACAGGACAAAAGTTTTGAGAGTCATAAGAAGAGTTAAAATGCTAGGAATGTCTAGGTAGAGGAATCATGGGAAGAAAGACCAGAAGACAGGAATGTGGAAAACAGATGGATGAGGAGGTATGAGAATCAGAGGATAGACAGAGGCATGGATGGGAAGAGGCAGAAAAGGATTGAGAGAGAATGGACGGGAGGGAGATGTGAAGAGCAAAAGAGAAAAAGAGAGAAGTGACAGAAAAGGAAGGAACATAAAGGAAGAAATGGGGAAAAAAAAATAAGGAGAGCCCTTCAGCCATCCAGGTGTCCCAGGGAAGAGAGAGACCTCTCTGTCCTTGTGAGGCAGAGTGGCCCATGAGACACATAGCCCCTATCACCCCCGTGTCATCACCCAGCCTGTCTGTCTTTACCCTTTACTCAGTGATTCCTTCTCTTTGGTCTCTTCTGTCCCGCTCCTAATCTTGCTGTTTTCCTCTCTACCTTCCTGGTTTCTCCCCACCCCCTCACCACCTCCACTGTACATCTGTACCTCTGTATTCTGGGTCCTCTGTGTCAGCTTTCGGAAAGGAAGGAGAGCTCTATGCTACTGTGTGACCTCCTTCCTCTCCAACTCCAACTCACCTCTCTGAGACTCGTGTTTCTCTGTTTCTCCTTTGTAGTCATATCCCACAGCAGCCTTGTCCCGTTTATCCTTCTCTATCCCATAGCGGCCTCCAAAGCCATGAGAGTAATCTATGGTGAAAAGAGTAGTCATGAGAGCCCATTCTCATCCCACAGGAAGGTGTTGTGGAAGAGACAAGTCAGGAGGAATGGGCGCAGAGATAGGGGCCTGGGAAGGCAGCGGGCTAGAATCTAGGTGGATTAAAGAGAAAGTGTCCTAAGCCATCTTTTGTAAACTTTAATTCAACATTGTTCACTCCTTTCCTCTCCTTTACTTCCATCCCAAGAAGAGGAGACCATTTCAATTTTCTCCCTTCTTCAAGGAAGGGGAAGGTATAAAGAATGTAAAGACAGATTTTTAGGGGGAAAGAGGAAGATACATACAAAATTTATGCCTGTCCCTACTCCCATATAAACACTTAGAAATGTCTGCTAAAATATAACAATCTTTCTTTTTGTCAATAGTGAAGCTCAAGAGACAAGAAAAAAAAATCCTGGCTCCAGAAACAAATAGATGAATCAAATCAGTAGAGATGAGGGTAATTATGAGCTGACTCAGAAAACCCAGGGGTGTTTTAAGTCCCAAATTTATTATCTGGATTAGGAACTAGGGTCATGTGTTCTTACACAAGAACAGGGGGCCGGAGAATAAGAAATGGCAGTCTACCCATTCTTATAAAAGAGTTCTAGAAAAATTCTACTCATTTGTGTGGGGAAATGGTGAGGGGGGTTGTAGTTTGTTTAGCATTTGGTAGGGGGAAATTTTAACTATGGGACTCAGAAACTCCAGGCCTACCCTGAGTAGGTAGAATGCAAATATCCAGTTTTATACCACTTATATTTCACAGGAATTCTAAGCTGAGAAATTAATTCTGATCTGGAAAAATACATACCACAGAAAGAATACGTATCAGAAAGATGGCAGGAATATGAGACAGAGTAGACCTCAATATAAAATGCATTGTAAGAGACGAGAGAGATATAACACAATAAGAGAACAAATCACCATTAATGAAGGATATGTATGCTGGTATAACCTATTAACAGAATCACAACTCATGAAACAAAAACTGACAGAAACAGGAAGAGAAATAGAAAAATCTGAGATCCTAGATAAAAAATTTTGATACTCCTCTTACATTAATTGATAGAATGTTTAGACAAAAAGAATCTAAAATTATATAAGGCCCAAACAACATTAGCAACTAACAAGACCTAAATGACATTTACAGAACATTATATCCCCAAACTGCAGAATACACTTTTTTTTGTGCACATAGAACATTCACCAAGATAGTCCATATGGTTGGGGCACCTGGATAACTGAGCTGGCTAAGCATCCAACAACTGATTTTGGCTCAGGTCATGATTCTTAGGATCATGAGATCAGGCCCTGCAACTGGCTCTGCACTGGGCATGGAGCCTGCTTACTACTCTCTCTCCCTCTCCCTCTGCCCCTTACCCCTGCACTCTCTTGCTAAAATCAATCAATCAATCTTTTAAAAAATCAAAATAAAAAATAGACATCCAAATGAGAATGAGAATTTCCAATATACACCATAATGTGTTCTAGAAGAAGGAATAAAAGACAGAAGAGGAGAGGCACTATCCAAAGAAAACATGCCTGAGACTTTCCATAATGGAAGTATTTCTCAGGTTGAAGAGGATCGATAAGTCTCAGGTAGGATAAGAGAAATAGATCCAACCCCTAGATATATCCTGATGATATCTGAGAATATCAGAGACAAAAAGAAAGCCTTTCATGGAAAAAAAAAAAAAAAAAAAACAGAGAGATAAGACATGTTACCTACAAAGGAATGATGGTTAGACTACCCAAGAGTAGTTTAAAAAGAGGATGAAAAAAGTAGCCAAAGAGGATGAAATAATACCTTCAAAGTGTTCAAAGTGATGAAGGGAAAATAACAATGAAGAATGGAACAAAATGTATTTTTCAGACAAAGTCTGGGAGTTCTTTCGTAGGTTCTCGCAGAAAGTATTATCAAAGGATATACTTTAATAAGAAGGAAATAGAAGAAAGGAGCAAATAATGAGATACAATAAACAGTGATGCTCCAGGAACTTGACAAATACATTGGCCAATTTAAATAAGTATCCACTAAATAATAATAATGATTCATTTTTGTGGGGTTTAAAAACACATGGAGGGGTACCTGGATGGCTCAGTTGTTAAGCATCTGCCTTTGGCTCAGGTCATGATCCCAGGGTCCTGGGATCAAGCCCCGCATCCGGCTCTCTGCTCAGAGAGGAGCCTCCTTCTCCCTCTCCCTTTGCCCCTCACCAACTCCCACCCTTACCTCCCCCAGCTCATGCTCCACCCCCACTCCCACTCGTGCTCCTCCCTTATGCTCCTCCCACCCCTGCTTATCTCCTCACCCCACTTATGCTCTCTCTCTCTCTCTCTCTCCCTCTCTCTTTCACTCTCAAATAAAATCTTTTAAAATACATAAATAAATAAAACAAACTGTGGAACTACATCGTGGGACTAGAGGGAGTTGATGACAGCTGTTAGGAGGTGAAGTCTGAGCAGAACAGGTCAGTCAGGTTGCTAAGGCTGAAGAGCAGGGTCCTTGCCTTTCTGAGATGCATGCTTCTCCACTTCGCCTTTGTAATCAAAGCCAACTGCTGACTACAGAGAAAACCAGAGTGCATTAGTTAGAACTGGAGCTGACAGTTTTCCCCCTCCCTCACCCATCCTTACCCCTAGCTCAGACCAGAGGCTAGTTTCTAAGAGCTCAGGACTGAGAATGAGGGTTTAACCTGGAAAGAGATGAGCACTCTGGCCTGACAGGCTGGTGTAGTGCCAGTGTGCTACAGAGCAATGAACACGGGCTTTGTATGTTCATCAGCTCCAGATTCAAACCCCAACCCCAAACTTCCCTATTTACAGTTGTTTAACTTTAGGCATATTCTTTATATTACTTAGCCTCAGTCTCCTCAAATATGAACTAAAAATAGGTAAACCTGCCTTATTAACCTCAACTATAAAATGGGAGAAATTATCCCTCTTTATTTGGGATATTGTGAATACTAAATGGGGCAAGGTGTATAAAGGATTTGCATTGTGTCACTCAGTAAATTAGTGCTTTCTTCCAAACTCTCATGAAACTGAAATGAGGTAATAGCTAAAAAAGTGCCCTGTAAAGTATAAAGCACATGTAAGTAATATTATCCCATTCCTAATTGATTATACTATGCCTCTTCTCTTTCCCTAAGTGGCAGCAGAAACCCAGAGATGTGTTTTGATGGGACAGAGGCAACTGGGAGATCCTAGCTACTCCAGGACCGGATATGTTGGCCAGTACGCAACATCACCACACAGCTGCATTCCCATCTAGCTCAGTACCTATGGGTGTCTAAGCAAGACAAGATTTCACATCTCAAGAGCTCTTAGTATGTATTGTTTCTTAATTTACAGGACACACTGATCGTTTAGGTGATTCAGTCTGTGGCTCCTGAGGCAGATGAAAGAAAGAATGATGAGAGATAGGCAATGGCAAGATGGAAGGTTAGAGAACATTCTATGTCCCATACTCCATTACTGCCTTGAAAAATTACCTTCTTTCTTTTTCCTTTTCCTTATAGCAATTTTGAACTTTTCTCCCCAACCCCCTAGAATGCTTGAAGGATTCAGGCCCACCTAGTTAATGAGGGCAGGTAAAAAGAAAATCTCAGCTAGCTATGAAGGAAATGTCCTGTCCGTATGCAGCTGCAAGGGAAAAGACACTATTCTGCACCATAAAAAACAAGCTCAAAGAGTCTGATCTGGGGCACCTGGGTGGTGCTGTTAGTAAGGCAATCTCCTCTTTTTAAAACTACTTTTTTTTTGTACAAAGGAGTCTTTAAAACCACTGGACGTCAGGGATTTGGTGCTAAATCCTGTGAAAAGTAACCTTTACCTTTTAAAAACATTATAACCCTAGTTATCTGTTTTACTTGATTGTTCGCTGCTGTGGTAATAATACTTAAACTAACATCTGTGTTCTCCTGAAAGGCATAAAAAATTATAACGTTTTGATGTTTGACTAAAAGAAGAGCTTTGAAATTTCCCTCTTCTTTCTTCATGTGTAGGTATAATAAAAATCAGTGGTTTGACAGATTCCTTATCTAAATAGAGTTTGAGAATCTTTGTCTCATTTGAATTAACACTATTCACCCTAGCATGTGGTCTCCAAAATGGCACCAAGGAACTTGTTAAGGAAGTTCATGGGAGCTATCCTCATGACAGACCTTCCTGAGTCCACTACCCTGTCTTTCCATAGGAGAAGCATAGACCCACGTTCAACGGTGTGTGAGTACTGTAAGTCTCACATGATTTGAGCTGCATAGCACAGGGAGAGACTTACCTTGTCTGCCCTGTCCTTCTCAACTCCATATTTGCCCCCAAAGCCTTTGGCAGCATCAGTCTGAGAAGAGTGCTTCTCTACCTCAGCAACATACTCATGGCCCACGGCACTCTAAGAAAAATCAGACGGAATGAGTGAAAGATAAAAATGACCATAAAAAATGAAATGGTATCATAAAAGACTCTTAACTGTAGGGAACAAACTGAGGGTCGCTGGAGGGGAGGTATGTGGTAGGATGGGGTAACTGGGTGGTGGGCATTAAGGAGGGCATGTGATGTAATGAGCAGCGGTGTTGCAAAAAACTGATGAATCACTACATTCTACCCCAGAAACTAATAACTACACTATATCTGATCTAACTTGAATTTAAACAAAATTCTGGGGGAAAAAAAAAAAAGAAACTGTACAGTCATGGGTTGGGATGTAAGAATACCAGAAATTCTATTCTGGGTCAGTCTCACAGCCTCCAGCAGTGTATCACACAAGCAATATGTGATACAAGGAGAGCAAGTTTACTTTTTCTGGAGGCTCACACATCCTAAGTCTTCTTCAATACTATTAGGAATCCGTCATTCAGGAAACTCCTATAGGATGTACTGGGAACCCCAAAGATAGAGACGAGGTAGACAGAGAGCATTTAAATCAGAAACAGAAAGGAAAGCTTAAAAAAAAAAAGGATTAATGGGTCAAAATAGAATGAGGCAGTTACTGAAGAGAGATCAAAGGGAACTGACTTAATGCTGCAGCCAATTGCATATTTCACGAAAAGAACCAGATGATTTTGTTCTGAATCTTTGTGCCTGGATGTCCATCAAATTTCAGAAGAGCCAGCAGAGCCCTGATATTTAACAGTGATTGACTCTCCACCAAAGGGGGTTGATTGACAATACTGCAAGTAGTCCCAGAGGGCATATAACTTTCCTATTCCCTTCCACTTTTTATTCCATCTATTGTTTTACTTTCTATTTGGTTTTGAAAACTCTCTCTCTCTTCCAATATTTAGATATGGATACTTTAATAATCTGGGACTTGAGTAGTACTTCAAACCAAATAATGGTATCTTGCAGGGTCTCAAGAAATTAAAAAGTTTCTCCTTCTTCCTGTATTTCCAAGCTCATGCTAGGATAAACATTATCAATACAGAGACTGATGTAAAACACTGCCCTGTTTGAGGTCCTGGGAACTCACTTTACAGTATTTTTAGGTCTGTATAGGTCAAATTTGCTTGTGAATTTAAGAATGAATGAATGTTTATCTATTTTAGTTTTTTCCTAGGAATTTTGTGGAGAATATAAGCCTATGTTGCATTTTACGCAATGACAAAACGAAACATTTCCTGAGGGTGAACAAACAGCTTTCACTGGATATATTTTTTTCTCCTTGAAGATAAATGGTTTTTTGTTATAGGCATATATCTCTATCTTTGAGGTTAGAAAAATCAATGGAAACTATGATTTATAATACAATCATTTTTATCATACTTTTATAGTAGCTAATGGATAAAGGAAAACAATATTCATACTTGAAGGCATCTAATAAATTCACATCAACATTTTTCACATGTGCATATTATATAAGGTATAAGGTATAATATATATGCAAAAAGAACACAAAGTACACAGTAAAGAAAATAATAAGAGAAGTTGCAACATCAACATAATATACAAACGCTTAAAAGCAGTATATGATTTAAAACATATTTTTTCCTTCTCCAACGGTGACCCTGTCTCCTTAGTCTAGGAGTTACAGAACTACTTGGCCTACCATGGGCCACCCCTTTTAAATTTTTGAATCTTGTTTTCCACTTCTATTTTTTTTTAATTTTTTTAAAAGATTTTATTTATTTGACAGAGAGAGATCACAAGTAGGCAGAGAGGCAGGCAGAGAGAGAGAGGGAAGCAGGCTCCCTGCCGAGCAAAGAGCCTGATGTGCGGCTCGATCCCAGGATCCTGAGATCATGACCTGAGCCGAAGGCAGAGGCTTAACCCACTGAGCCACCCAGGTGCCTCTCCACTTCTATTTTAAAGTGCAAATAACACTGGACTTTTGAACAAGTTTTAAACCATAATACCAATAAACAAATCAATCTATCTTTTGTCTTTAAGCAAATACCTTCCTTTCAACTTACCTTGTCCATGCGGTCTCTTTCCACCCCAAATCGACCTCCATACCCATGCGATGCTTTGGGCCCTGATTCCATCTCCTTCTTCTTGAGACTATCATGCTCCTCTGACACTTTGTTCCTCAGCTGGTGGATGCTGGAAGTAACCACATGACAGAGACTCATCTAGCAGGGAAGCCAAAGAATTCTCTTTCCCAGAAAAATAGAAGTCTCGAGGTATGTTGTTCATTTTTAGCAATAATCTGAGTCCCCAAAGTATATCAGTACTTGGTCTGGGAATAAGAAATAAGACCATAGCCTGATTTAAACTCTCCATCAGCCAATAATATTTCCGATAGTCTGTTATTTTGCCCACTAAATAACCTACTGATATGTTCCTCATTTTTCATGCTCCTGAATATTAGAGGATAGTGACACCAATTATATTCTTGAAACTGGGAAGTTATTTTCCTTCTGGCATTAGATATTCTCTCTCAAGAAGCACAAAAATATTTATATACCCTCTTACCCACACATTCTTGTCCTGAGAGTCTACCACAAGGAAATAATTTTAAACATGGCAAGGCTTAATGTCTAATACTATGCACTGAAACACTGTATCTAATAGCAAAATTAAGAAACAATTTATATGGCCAACACTCAGAGAATAGTTAAGTAAATCACAATATTACCTCCCAATGGCATACTAGGAAGTCATTAACAATAATAGTTAGGAAAAATGTAGCTTTGGGAGATTTATCTATACATTAAATATTTTGTGTATATTCTTGTCAAAAATGAATGCCCTTCACCTCTGTTCCCAAATCTGATAATTCCTAAAGCTAAAATCTAGTAAAACAAACAAAAAGCAGAATCAGATCTATAAATACAGAGAACAAACTGATGGTTGCCAGAGGGGATGTGGGTTGGGGAAAATGGATGAAGGGGAGATGCTGGCTTCCAGTTATGGAATAAGTATGTCACAAGAATAATAGTCACTGGGTGTTATATGCAACTAATGAATTGTTGAACACTACATAAAAAGCTAAGGATGTATTGCATGTTGCCTAACGGAATATAGTAATAATTAAAAAGGAATAATAGTCACAGCATAAGGAATATAGTCGATGATATTGTAATAGTGATGTAATGGGGGGGCGCCTGGGTGGCTCAGTAGGTTGAAGCCTCTGCCTTCAGCTCAGGTCATGATCCCAGGGTCCTGGGATCGAGCCCCTCATCAGGCTCTCTGCTCAGCGGGGAGCCTGCTTCCTCCTCTCTCTCTCTGGCTGCCTCTCTGCCAACTTGTGATCTCTGTCAAATAAATAAATAAAATCTTTTAAAAAATAAAATCATGTTTAAAAAATCGTGATGTAATGGGACAGATAGTAGCTACAATTGGGGTGAATGTAGCATAATGTATAAACTTGTCAAATCACTAAGTTGTACACCTGAAGCTAATTTAACATTATGTATCAACTATACCCAAATGAAAAAAAGCTAATTAAAACCAATCCATTCATCTTTCGATGGACATCTGGGCTCTCTCCATATTTGGGGTACTGTGGACATTGCTGCTATAAATATTGGGGTGCATGTGCCCCTCAAATCACTATGTTTGTATCCTTTATTTTTTTTAGAGATAGATTTATTTATTTACTTACTTATTTAACAGAGAAAGAGAGAACGCACATAAGAGCATGCACACAAGCAGGGGGAGCAGCAGGCAGAGGGAGAAGGAGAAGCAGGCTTCCCGCAGAGCAGGGAGCCTGATGTGGAGCTCGATCCCAGGACCCTGGAATCATGACCTGAGCTGAAGGCAGCTGCTTAACCAACTGAGCCACCCAGTTCCCCTATGTTTGTATCCTTTAGATAAATACAGAGTAGTGCAATTGCTGGGTTGTAGGTAGTTCTATTTTTAACTTTATATATATATATATATATATACACACACACACACACACATACATACATACCACATCTTCTTTACCCACTTAAACTGTTGGGGGGAATTTAAACTGGTGCAGCCACTCAGGAAAACAGTATGGAGGTTCCTCAAAAAGGAATATTACTCAGCCATCAAAAGGAATGAAATCTTGTCATTTGCAACAACATGGATGGAACTAGAGGGTGTTATGCTAAGTGAAATAAGTCAGTCAGAGAAAGACAAATATCCTATGATTTCACTCATATGCAGAATTTAAGAAACAAAAGAGATGAACATAGGGGAAGGGAAGGTAAAATAAAATAAGATAAAAACAGAGTGGGAAGAAAACCATAAGAGACTCTTAATTATAGAGAACAAATGGAGGGCTGCTGGAGGGGAAGTGGGTTGGGGGAAGGGCCAATTGGTGATGGGCATTAAATAGGGCACTTCATGTGATGAGCACTGGGTATTATATGCAACTGATGAATCATTAAATTCTACCCCTAAAACTAATAATACTCTCTGTATTAACTAAATTGATTTTAAATAAATATTAAAATGAAAAAAGTAACTGTACCAGGAATAAGTTAAATATAACGCCAATATCAGAGACTTAAAAAAAAAAAACTAATTAAATTCACTCTTATCACCTGCACTAAAAAGAGGCATTCTCCTTCTTACTTCACTTTCATCTTCCCATGAGAGTAGAGAGCATCTCTGCATATCTCTTTGCCCTGAGGATATGAAGTACTAGCTCAGCACTAGCACTAGTATCAATGAGTGACAATCAGGACTGATACTTGGGACACCTATAAGCACCTCTAGGGGTTCTTAGAAACATTTGGGCAAGAGAATCCTTAATAAAAAAGTTGACTTCCTGCAGCAAGACATAGAGGTTTAGAGAATTGAGGCAGTGGTGTTACTGGGACTTCACTAGCTTCAGAAAACCAGATATATTGGTTACAGGCAGAATGGCCAACCCACAGCAGAAATTCTCCTCTTTCATGGGAGAATAGATCCATCTGGTGGCCTTGGAATATAAGCCCACCAAAAGTCTTTTTTAAAAGCCTTCTCAGCTTTAGTCACAGTTAATTTTAGAAAGCTGGCTTTGAACCAAATGAAATAAGCCAAGTGCTGGAAGAACCATCTGTTCCCGTGCCTGCTCTAAACCCTCTGACAGCAGTGGAGGCAGAGATCCTGTGTTGCTAGTTCAACAACACTGATACTTTAGAAATGTCCGTGTCAAAAAAGCAATTGGTTCCAAGAACATGTAAATAGCTGTTATTTCCCAACCAACATATTCAGATGAAGAATGAAGAAATGGGACTAAGAATTACTTTCAAACGAGGAAAAATGTGCAAAGTTTTAATGACTCCAATGATTGCCACATGGGTCATAACTATATCATAGTTAAGAGAAGTTTTTAAAAGGGATTTAAAAATCAGATTCAGGGGCGCCTGGGTGGCTCAGTGGGTTAGGCCTCTGCCTTCGACTCAGGTCATGATCTCAGGGTCCTGGGATCCAGCTCCACATCAGGCTTTCTGCTCAGCGGGGAGTCTGCTTCCCCCCATCTCTGCCTGCCTCCCTGCCTACTTGTGATCTCTCTCTCTCTCTCTCTCTCTCTGTCAAATAAATAAATAAAATCTTTATAAAAAAGTAAATAAAAATGAGATTCAGGAATTTCCACCTCATAGATGACAGCAAGGCTAGTTAGAGGATCATGCCAATAGATAATACAATTCAAATAAAAATGTTGGGGCTAAAGAAGACCAACTTCATATCAAATTCTGTAGAATATAGCTGAAGCCACTCTAAATAGGTCTTATATATTGCTCCTTCATTCAATAAATATTAAATATTAATTAAACCTTTGACTGTAAGGCACTCCACTATGAAGACAGTGGCCGTTGGAAGAGATACAAAAAGTTATAATCCAATGTGCCAAGTGCATACATAAGAAACTTTTGACACATTAACTCTCAGAAGCCTATTTTAAATTTTAAAATACCTTGGAATTGATAAAGCAATGCAGTTTATGGGAACCAAGTGAAATCCAAGGTCTTAAAGATGAACTAAGAGAAGGAACCGATCTTTTTGTTCCTGTTACAAAAGTAAAAGCAAAAAGGTGAGTCACACAGACTAAGATTTTATCCACAGATGATATGTTCATAGATGTAGAAAATCCTAAAGGATCTACAAAATGTGCTAATAGAAATACTAAGTACATTTGGCAAATTCATAGGACACAAGGTCACTATCAAAATCAATTTCACTTCTACATACAGGCATAACTCATTTTAGGAGCACTTCACTTTAATGCACTTTGCAGGTATTGTGTTTTTAACAAATTGAAGATTTGTGGCAACACTACATTAAGCAAGTCCATTGTACCATTTTCCCACCACCATTTGCTCATTTCTTGTCTCTGTGTCACATTTGGATATTTTGCACAATATTTCAGAGTTTTTCATTATTATTATACTTGCTATGGTGATCTGTGATCAGTGATCTTTGATGTTACTATTCTAATTGTTCTGGGGCATCACAGACTACACCCATGTGAGCTGGTAAATTTAATTCATAAATGGTACTTGCTCCACCAACCAGTCATTTCCCTATCTCTCTCCCTTTTCTCAGCCTCCCTATTCACTGAGACACAACAGTGTTAAAGTCAAGTCAATTAATAACCTTACAATGGCCTCTAAGTGTTCAGGTGAAAGGAAGAATCACATGTCTCTCCCTTTAAATCAAAAGCCAGAAATGATTAAGCATCGTGAGGAAGGCATGTCAAAAGACAAGACGGGCCCAAAGCTAGGCCTCTTGTACCAAACAGTCAAGTTGTGAATACAAAGGAAAAGCTTGTAAAGGAAATTAAAAGGCTACTCTGGTGAAAATATGAATGATAAGACAGTGAAACAGCCTTATTGCTAATTTGGAGAAAGTCTGAGTGGTCTGGATAGAAGACCAAACCAACCACAACATTTGCTTAAGCCAAAGCCTAATCCAGAGCAGGGCCCTAACTCTCCTCAATTCTAGGAAGGCTGAAAGAGGTGAGAAAGCTGCAGAAGAAAAGTTGGAAGCTAGCAGAGGTGGGTTCATGAAGTTTAAGGAATGAAGCCATCTCCATAACATAAAAGTGCAAGGGGAAGCAGCAGGTCCTGATGGAGAAGCTCAAGCAAGTTCTCCCGAAAATCTAGCTCAGATAATTCATGATGGTGGCTACATTAAACAAG